TGTTCTATTGATTGAGATGCATTTGAATTCCATTTTCATCTCCCTCCTTCCAGTGATCTAAACTGCAACAGTCAGAATCAGGATCCCTGCCATAATTCCTCCATATAACTGAGATCATTGATGGCATGGACATGACTCTGCTGCATCCTGATTTATAGGAGAGCAGCTACATGTTGCTTGCAGTAGCAGCTGCCCAAAAAGTGAGGACTGGGGATGATGGTTGGGTTGGGAAACACTACTTAGCTATGTAACTAACCCCTTTTGCAGACTGCGCTTTGCGCCATCTTGGAGGCAAGGAAGGAGAGGGACAGCCTCATGCTGGGTGCCCCAACCCCTTCCTGAGGACGTAATCGGAGCACCCGCCCTTCCACACGATGAGTGCTCCAATTATGTCCTTCTGGCTCAGCATCCAGACATGCTGAGCCAGAAGAGGCGCAGAAGAGCCACATGGTGGCTCTTCGGGTGCCCCTTTCGTGGCTTGTGGAAGGAGTGCTATTTTAGCGCTCCTTTCCCAGGCGGCAAAAGGGAGGATCGGGGATGAGGCATGGGGTAGCCTTGGCCCCGATCCGCCACTTCCCAGGGTGGCCCATGGCCGCCCATCTGCATCCCCCCTAAGGTAGTTGCATAGCTAACTAGCTGATCTAGAGTGATAGCCAACATTTTCAAATCTGCCACAAGGAGATAACATTCCAAATGAACATCAGTATAACTGAAAACCAATGTGTTATATTTAAAATGTGACTAGATAGTTTAGTATACTTCTGATTAAAAGCATTCATAATCTACACTGGGCACATTACAATGAGATTTATTTTAAATAAAAATATAGACTCCTATGTAACGTAACACTGGATGCACTGTCCTAATGCAATCAACTGATACTGAAGTGCTTCAGTCTATATGCTAACATGAGTAAATTGAACATTGGAACTCAGTCCTCAATTTTGAACATTAATACACTTTACAATAAAAGTGTTAGTTTCCCCATGGGACAATGATGCTAATAGTGTCAATGTCTGCCAGGGAGAGGAGATGGGTATTTTCAGGCTGGGCAAAGCAGGTCTTGTTAAAAGAACTTCTTGTGGTGCACATACTCATGAGGAATTGAACAAGGTTTTTCTATTTTGTGTGAATGGTGAGTGCACCACTTTCCTGGTGCAGCGTCACAAAATCTTAACAAAGCAAAATAACATTTAAAATCCACAAAATATTGACAACTTAAATGCACAAAATCACAGATATACTCTCAGCCTCAGGGGATGGCAATGACAACCCCCCTCTGAAGAAACATGCCAAGAAAGCTCTATGATTGGTTTGCCTTAGGGTCAGCATAAGTAAAAAATGACTGGGAGGCACACAACTACAAAAACAAGAAGTGTACTGCTGACACTGCTTCACAGACTGGTCTGAATGGAATTTTTGTCCTGCAAGTTAGTGGACAGAAATAAGTAGCAGCTTAATCCTTAGAAGACAGTGTTTGAATTCTTATTTAATAATCAAAATCAATAAGCCCTTTAGTACTTCCTTTGGCAGTGAGATGTGTGAGATGAGCCGTGTTCTGGATTTATCATGTCAGGATATTTCCAAGATCAATTTAACACAGTCTACTGAAAGTGCTAGTGTTTTGATTGTTATCCTGGGAAAAGTTTAGCTTATGCAAAAGCAGTGTGAGAAGCCAGAATAGTCTAAATGGAATTAGTCTTCGTTAGTAGCTGGGAGATTCATTCACTTGAACTAAATACTGACATTATTTTGAGGATTTCTTTAACCCCACTGCAATACTAAATATACATTATAGTGTGCATGTGTATTTCTGTATATGAGAGAGAGAGAGAGTGAGAGCACTTCTGAACATGGTGGCTCCATGTCATAGCTTCTGTGGCAATCATTGGAATGAAACTGGGAAGGATGTAAACCAAAGGTATATCCATATTGCACAATTTTAGTGGGCATGGTACGAGTCTATGCAATCTTGGGAAATTGTAGTTTGATTAGTGTTAGATAAGAATTTTCTGCTAGGGAGTGCCAGTGTACACTCTTCTGAATTACATCACTTGCACTCTTAGCAAAGTGGATTCCAAGATTCTAGGGGAAATGACAATTTCAGGTTTCTGTAGGATAAAACTATCTCAGTTAAAGTGGTATCAAACTGCTATAATTGTATAATACAGTACTCGAGGAGAAGAGACAAGGTAGATTGGGATCATCTGGTAGGCTTTGTAATGATCTGAAGTACAAGTTTATGTCTCCCAACCTATCTTCCCTCTCCCCTATATAAAAATATTGTGTGTGTGGAGAAGAACTGTGAGACCACTTTCAGTACTGAAAATAATTCTTGCTCAGAGGCATCCTGTTTCTTACATCAAAGTATATGTCTCTGCCCCTAAACCATTGTTTGGCACCTGCCCCTAGAAGGTCTATAGTGTTTGCATTTCTTCAAGTACAAACTTGCTCCATCCTGTTTCTGTGTTAATCTGAGTTTGCTTTAAAAAAAAAAAAAAAAAGCTTTACAGAAAATTGTATGCATTTCTATGTCCATGGAGATTGCTATGTATTTGGTATTCAGTTCCCCTTGATATTCAAGTTTTAAAAAAAGCACCCCCAGTTTATGCCTTTTGTGTATGTAATTTTCTTCAGTGTAGGTCTTTTTGTATGCAGTTTCTTTTAAATGTATGCATTTATGTACAGAAGGCAGAAATAATACCTAATAATGGCCTGAAGTTATAGGAGAGTAGATTTTGACTGAATATTAGAAAGAACTCCTTGACGCTGACAGCAATTCAGCAATGGAGCCAATTGCCTAGAGAGATAGTGGGATTTCCTCCTATGGATGTTTTCAAAAAGAGGATGGGCAGCTACCTACTGGGAATGCTCTACTTGAAGATTCTGCACTGATCAGAGGGATGGATCGAATGGCCCATGAAACCCCTTTTAGCTCTATGATTTTATGACTCTATTATTAATTTTTTAATTGGAGAACAGCATTACTAAGTTCAGGGAAGTATGAAAACTGAAGGACAATGGGGCTCTGGTTAATTCATTATTTTGGGAAGCATGAATTAGATTGGTCTGCATTGGGAAAAAAAAACAAACCTATCTCAAATTGGTGAACCTCAGAGTTGGTGAATCTGAGAGCTCTCAGACCAAACTGATCCCAGAAGCCAGAAGCTAGCCTTTCTCTGGCACAAAAATGGTGCTGATGGTTTATTTCTTTTAGTACTGCTGATTTGTAAATCAGCATGGAAAATCACTTGGCAATTTGGTAAATACTGAAAACATTTCCAGGATGATTGACAAGCTTACACTATGAACACCTTCCTTACTTCTTCTGAGTGAATACTTGCTATAGAAAAGTAACCCCTACAGCAGGTAATCTCATCCACCTATTACTGAATGTGGCCTTGACTAATTTTCAGTTCTATCAGCACAGTTTTTGAGAACAACACTCTTAATTGCTCTGAATGAATTAATGAGCATTAGATCTTTCTATTGCTGTCGATAAATGCTTCTGGCAATTAAAATGTGGTAGGTCTCATGATTTGATTTTGCTTCAGTATATGCTTGACAGCCTGGCTTTTTAAAAAAGCAGCTGGCATGCATACTGCAAATTTGTAGCCTTGCTTGACTTCCATGGGTCAAATGCAACAATTTCATAAATTAGAAGGGTGCATTGCAAAACTGATGTGTACCCTGAGAAGCAAGAGAAACAGGAACCTGAGAAACAGCAACAGTCTCAGGAGGAAGTATACATACTAAATATTGTGAGAAAACAAAACATTAAGAGAATTTATCTGGGGAAGAGAAAGGAGAACAGCTGGAGAAAAGTGGCAGTCTGGAGAAGTCCCCCCCCCCTTTTAATGGACAAAAACAATATTGAATTGGTGAGAGAAGCAGTGGTAACAGCTGACTCCATGTCAAGTGTAAAGCTAGATTTTTCTAAAAGTTATTCTAGAATTTAAAAGATCTGTCCAGTGCTGAAACTATTTGGAAAGTGGGAATATGGTTCAGAGCCTTGGATAGCTTCTTTAACCTCTGCAAGGAAACCTAATACACTATGCCACAGACACAGAAGCCATCAGATTCCATTGGAGAAAATATGAATAACTGTGAATTGCATATTGGTGTATTATTTACAGTGGTGCCCTTTACATAAATCCCATTGTAGGAGAAAAGTGGATATAATTCCTTGAAATAAAAAATAAATAAATAATGTCTGCTCTATATTCATTTATATTAGTACCCATTAACATCTACTCTCAGGCGAATGCACACAGGATTGCATTCTCAGTGTCTTTTGATTTGCCAATCTCTGATAGCATTTGGAGAGAGAGGTGATCCTTGCATCTCTCTAAGTAAACCTATGGGAGGAACTGCAACCTCCTGCCTAGAGAAGGCAAAATTTCCTGCTATCAAGTTCTTGAGGGGCCAGAGCATTGCCCTCCTATGGTGAGGTCATTGCAGTGCATCAAAGGATATTCACATAACATTGCTTGTACCATCTGGTAGCAGAGCCTTGAACAAGCACATTTACGGCAATGTAAACATTAGGGTTGTGTGAGGCATTTATTGCATGGAGGGTTTCTCCCACCCCTTCCCATGCTGATTTCCTCAAGCAAGCTAACAGGGCTTTCTGGCATAAGCTCTATGTTCTTTGGCTTAGTTTTGCAGTACTTTGGCTTGGCCAATGTGAGATAGCAGTTCTAGCGAAGGAATGGTCAGGATTGGGTCATGCACAGGAGGTGTCGGGGAAACAAGTATATGATAAATTCACAAGCAACTCAAAACAGACTCTGGCCCCCACTCCTGGGATGGCATGTCATTTAGATTCTGGAACCACTGAAGCCTACCAATGAACACATTCCCCCAAAAGGACATGCTTATCTGTCTAGATTCTTTATCCATTGTGTCTGTGTCTGTGGCATGGTGTATTAGGTTTGCTTTGAAATGAAAAGGTAGCACAAAGATGGTCTCAAGAAACAACAAACTCTGATAGTTCAGTAGCCAGTATGGTGCAGTGGTTTGAACTTTAGTCTATAGCTGTGGAGATCAGGGTTCAAATCCCCACATGGCCAATGAATGAACTTGGGCAAGTCCCACTCAGCCTCAGAGGAAAGCAAAGGCAAACTCCCACTGAACAAATATTGCCAAGAAAACCCTGTGATAAATTCACCTTAGGGTTTCCATAAGTTGGAAACAAATTGAAGGCCCAGCCAACAAACTTTACGGCAGAAGAGAAGTCTGGTAGGATAGGGAGTTGTTTTCTTTCTTTTCCCATTGTGTTTAGCTGCAACATTTGTATGTAAATGACACATTTCAGAGAGATATTCTCAGGCCAACAGACAGTGATAGGATAGGGAAGAGGCTTGGAAATTATGATGCTTGAAAACTAATGTAAGGCATTTTAAAAAAATACTGAGCAATGAAAAAAATTATTTTTTTAAAATGAAAATCACAATTTCTTACAATCCTTCTTTCCAAAAAAACACAGGGATTTGAGATCCTCTTGTAAAATGTGCATTAAGTTTGAAGATAGACCTATTAACCACCGAAGCCTACTTTCTCACTCCCTTTATTCCACTGTGGGCATTTTCAGAGAAATAAAATCTGAAAAACTCCATTTTGTCCCCTCTGCTTTATTTGAACCCTGAATTTCTTGTGAAGCATCCGAGCAGGGTTCTTAACTTTTGTTCACTCAGCTTTGTGAGGTAATTACCTTCATTGTAGGAAATGCCAGAACGAGTCCAAGGAACCCGATACTGGCCTTTGTCCAAATTCAGCATATATCCTTCATATAATCAACAATAATAACAACAATAATTCCCAAGAAAGTGTGTTCTGATCTTCAGCTTTGAATGGAAGGAGATTTGCTTATTAATAACTTCAATCAGAACTGTTTAATGTGTTTAATCATTCTGATCTCTTTTATCCTGGAACATGGCATCTATCCTTTGAAGTAGAAATGTGTCACAGACTCTGAAAGAGCCCTTAATGTGTATATTAAGAGGAGCTGTTGACTGGAAATGAAAGTAAAGCCACAATATTTTAATGAAGTGGTTGTTTTGAGGTACACCAAATCATTTCAGACTAAGGGGTGTTGCTAATAGTTGAAATTTTGAAAGCATAATTTTGGTGATTTGAGACCAGGTTATGTTGATCATTGTCAATGCAACATTGCTTAGGGTAGAACGGAAACTATACCACATGAGCATGGAGCCTCCATCCCAAATCACATCTTTTTGCTTTATAAACCCTTTGGTAATGTCTAGAATAACATTCCTTTATCTTAATACCATGGATTGACTGTGTGTACAGTGTCATATAATAAAGCAAAGTCAATTAAGGGAGAAAGAATGAGTCCCATTATTGAGAAAAAGTGAGATATCAATGAATTCTCCTCCCCTCCCCCTCCTCTCTCTCCCATTCCAAATATGAGATCACTATTTTATTTACTCATGGTTGTATGATCAGTGTAACTTCTAGTTTCACCCTTAATGAACAAAGGTTTCTATCTCTCCTTAGTAAAAAATGCATCTACTTTCACAAGTCAGGACTCAGTAAGCAGCTAAGAATCGGCAAAAATCAGGTTGTTCAACTTGTGCAGGTGGACAACTATTTTTGGAGTGTAGACCACATTAACATGGCCACCTCCCTTTTAGGCCTGTATGAGTGGGCAGGGTTAGTGGAGTGTGTGGTGGACGCGGGCAGGTCTCAGACACACAAATATCCCTCCTCAAGCGTATGCACATATACCCCATGCATCCATGTACACATACATATACACTTCTCCATCTCCCACTGAAAATAATCAGGATAACTCAGTGGTGGTGAGCCTTCAGCTTTCTCTGTCCTCTGTTCCTGATACAGGCAATATGTTATTTCCCACTCTTATTCATGTTACATTATTTTAAGAAGAATATGAAACAAATTTTGCATTCATCATAGAGTTTGAAAACTGCACAATAATGGAGCAAAACAAAACATAATAGGATGTCATCAGAATAAAAACCATCAGATTTTTTTAATGGCTGAGGGAAAACAGTTGTTTTGATAATTGGGGAATAGGTAGCAAGAGATTTTTGCTGCTAATACCAGGATCAGACTGGTATACTTGTTCTTCATTGCCCAGCTGATGGCTAGTCTGCTGGGTAGTTAGAGAAAATGGGGGCACTCTCAAGGGTTTACCACAATGCTGCATGCAGCCAAAAGACCACAGTTTGATCTCGTGTGAGTTTAGGCAATTCTACCATTAGACACAACCTGTTTTGTTTTATGTCATGGTTTGCAGAGGGAAAAACTGCATTATAAGACTTTTCAACCTGACTCACTCATTTTCTTTTATGTCATTCTTGAGACAGGTAAGAATTTTGAGTATCACTGTAATTAATGTATCAACAACAGCAAACTTATTATCACCATGAGCAGATAATATCATGAGGACAAAATCATGCTTTTGAGTAATAATCAATTTTTGAACCTATTTTAAGAATGTACTTAATAAATGTAACATGGCTGTAAATAGTGATCCTGGTCTTTCCCTCTTAAATCTAAAATAGTTGATTTGGCACTCAGTATACTCTGTTTTAAACAAGAAAGTATGGTACACTGTAAAATAATTTTAGAAAATCAAAGAAAATTTGGCATAGAATCTATCTGCCTATCTATCTATCTATCTATCTATCTATCTATCTATCTATCTATCTATCTAATCTGTCTACTTAAGTACCTTGCTGTCGATCTTGTAGGACCAGTATTAGCTTCTGATCTCTTACTCATGAAGCTAAAAGGAGACATCAGACCAGTCACATATTTTGTTGTGGTGTTGTGAGGGGGTAAATATAGATAATAAAATCTCTCTCTCTCTTTCTTCTGCATGTCTGTTTGTATTAACCAGAGCTCCTTAGAGATAAATATATATTAGAAATCTATTTATAGAATCTGTTACATAAACTGAAATCTTGGACTTGCTGAAGGTCGGTAAATTTTTCTGGCTGAGTTTACTACAGTCAATGTTTGACTTTACTTAGTAGGAATCTACTAGTGTGACCAGACCTTCATCCCCTCCTTTCCTGCCTCAGCCATCCATGCCACATCAAAAACCTATTAGACTGGGTTTCCCTATGTGGACCTCTCCTGCCACCTTGACTATTTCTCTCTTTTAGAATTTATGTGACTGGCTTCATATCCCTTGTCACCTCCTGGTCTAATAACTATTAATAACACACTGGTAGCGTTTGTTCAAAATTCTCACACAGAGGCCAAAATAGGTTTTTATAAAATATAAGTTGGTTTTATTGTGTTTCAAACATACAGTCACGCTTCTTGGTTTTCAAACTTGTTAATAATATTTCCTGGTTACAGTTTCAAGTGTATGTAAAATGGCTGCCGCCACGAGGCAGCCTTGCGGCTTTATAGCCCTAGGTTCTCGTTGGTAGTCTCGCGATAAGCAAGACCACCAACGAGATGGGATCCTAGAAGATCCCACCCGTGATTGGCCGAGCGGTGAAGGAAGGGGCGCGACTTCCCCCGCCGCACAGCCAATGACGCATCTGGCCTCCTTTTTTGGCTGGTGCAATAAAGAACCCCTCCCCAACAAGTCAGGGGGGGTGTCTTTCTGTTTATGAATTATGGACGTTATCACAAGGGGGCAAATCTGCTGGTTAATCCACACAAAACCCAAACAGAAACTGGATTAGTGCCCCGTGTTCTCACACGATGTCACACAGAAACTGAACAGAAAGTGGACAGAAACTGGTGTTAATGGAGATCTTTTGAAATTTGGTTGTTTGGAGGAAATGCAAATGCGCAATTAAGGTAATTTTGCATTTACCGTTGGAAGCATTTCTCTGCTTTTCCCATGGTTCCATGGCGAGCATTCCTCTATCTGCGCATGTGCAAGAAGCTCATTTCTAGTACATTTACGGGCTTTTCTCGCTTGTGTGTGAACGTTAAATGTGCTTACTTTAATTTTGCAATTAAGGTAATTCCATTTGCAGAATCAAGGTTTATTTTCAGTTTATTTTCAGAATGCCTCATTTCCACTTTATTATTGCTTTCTGGCCCACGTGTGATAACGTCCTATGATGGCATTTTGAAGTCAAACTCATGCTATCAGAATGAATGTTTATGGTCATTGTACAGGTAAACAGTATCTTCCAAGCACTAAATGACTAAAAGCACACCACAACCTTTTAAGCAGTGCAACTTTTAAGCAGTGCAACTCCCTCAGAGTGTGGTGGAGTCTCCTTCTTTGGAGGTCTTTAAACAGAGGCTGGATGGCCATCTGTTGGGGATGCTTTGATTTTGAGTTGGACTGCATGGCCCTTGTGATCTCTTCCAACTCTATGATTCTATGAACTGTCCCTCATCAAGACCATCTCCATGTTGTCAGGGAGCAGGGAATGAAATGGGGGAAATGTCCATGTTGAGAGGGAGAGGCTGAACTGTTTAAAAGGTTGGTTTTGGAGGATTAGTATTTGGAGACAGAGGGCCTTTACAGACTGCCAGAAATAGTACAGCTTGAGGCCACTTTAACTGTCCTGACTCAGTGCTAGGGAATCATGGGAATTGTATTTTTTTTCTGGGACATTGAGCCTTCTCTGTCAGAGAGCTCTAGTGCCACAATAAACTACAGTTCCCATGATTCCAGATGATGGTGGATGGAGGGAGAGAAGGCAGACCGGCTCCATTGGGCCTAGCCTGAAAAGAAGAAGGCCCTCCCTCCATCCACCATCAACTGGAGGGAGAGAAGGCAGAATGTGTGCTATCTTAATCATATTATGTTTATTTTCAATACTGTATTTATTTTATATTTGTAAGCCACCTTGATTGCTTTGGCAAAAGGCAGGATATAAGAAATTTTAATTAAATAATAATAATAATAATAATAATAATAATAATAATAATAATACACTAATTAATGCCCCAGCCTTATGAAGGCTCTCTTGCCCAGTTCATCACATCTCCTTTCTGGTTCCCAGCCAATTCCAATTCTGGTTCCCAGACAATTCCACATCTCCTTTCTGGTTCCCACTACATTCCAATAACCCTTCCACCATTCTTGTAGTTATCTATT